GGATTTGGGTCTGAGCTGCCAGGTTCAGGTCTCATTCTACAAAAACAGTAAATCACAGGACTAAGCCATAACTCTTCTACTAGTCAAGCCACTGTTAGTAGATGGCTATGGATGGAACATAGAGTAGAGGTGAGTTCTCTTTGTCTCTGTCTGTCTGTCTGTCTGTTTGTCTATCTATCTATCTATCTCTCTATCATCTATCTATCATCAATCATCTTCTATCATCTGCCATCTATCTATCTTTCTGTCTATCTCTCTATCATCTCACTTCTATTTATCATCTATCTACCTGTCTATTATCTATCTATCTATCTATCTATCTATCTATCTATCTATCTATCTATCAATCATCTATCTCTGTCTGTCTATATCTATCATCTATCATCATCTGTCACTTATTATGTGTCATCTATGTCTATTATCTATCATTTATATATCTATTTATCTCTTTATTTACTATCTATCACCCATCTATCATTTATCTACTACAACCTATGCATCTATCATCTATTTGTAAATTTGTTATTGACCAATCACCTTTCTATCACCAATCTATATCTACCTATCCTTGATCTATCATCTATAATTACTATGAATCTGTCATTCATCTATCTGTCTGTCTGTCTGTCTGTCTGTCTGTATCTATCTATCTATCTATCATCTGCCACCTCTCTCCTTACAACCCCTCATGCTGATTCATCTATGGGGAAACTGATGGCTGAGGAGGTTAGGCCACTGGCACTGTTGATCACATGCATCTTTATTTACAAAGTTATAACTTAGAAACAGCTTCATAGCTACGTGTTGATCTCTGAATCCTGTAAGCTATTGCTTGGATATTCTCAGAAGTAGTGTGCAATTCTGTCATACTCTTGCCTCATAGGATAATAGACTACACGAGTGGTTTTACTGCGATGATTTTCCATATATTCTAAGGACTTCCAAGGTGAAAAAAATAGGCAAAGTGTCTTACAGTGTTTTCTCTCTAGCTGTTTTCATCTCGGTTTAGGTATTTATATCATCTTTTCTCAGCCTGATGTGAAATTGGCTAATTGCCACATTTAGAAGAGAAAGTTCTTTTTAATTCAGAATGGCAAGTCCCCCAAGCTTCTATCTGGAATTAACATTCATACCATCTTTTCCACATCGGACACACCTGATAACTTCTCTAATGATATAGTAGTTTCTCTCTCTCCCTCCTTCCCTCTCTTTCACGTTGTTCAGGTGATTCTCTGACTTATTTTGTTTTACATATAAGTTTGATAAACTCTGTATTAGGTTATTTTCTATCTCTATAACAAATACTAGAACCTGGATGATGTATCAAGAAAAAAGATTTCCCTGATTTTCAGTTCTGGGGGTTCTGCTTCTCCTTGGCTATTGGTTATCTTAGTCAGGGTTTCTATTGCTGTGATGAAACACCATGACCAAAATGTAAGCTGGGGAGGAAAGGGTTTATTTGGCTTACACTTCCATATTGCTGTTCATCATCAAAGGAAGTCAGGGTATGAACCTGGAGGCAGGAGCTGATGCAGAGGCCACGGAGGGGGCTGCTTACTGGCTTGCTTCCTATATCTTGCTCAGCCTGCTTTCTTATAGAACCCAGGACCACCTGCCCAGGGATGGCTCCACCCACCATGGGTTGGGCTCTCGCCCATCAATCACTAATTAAGAAAATGCCGTACAGCTGGATCTCATGGAGGCGTTTTCTTGTTTGAGGCTCCGTCCTTTCAGGTGACTCTAGTCTGTGTGTCAAGTTGACCTAGACTAGCCGGCCCATGGTGCTGCCATTATGGTGGGTGTCCTCACGATGGCGGACACATGTGAGAGTCAAAGTTCACCAGAGACTGAGAACTCTCCAGAGAACTAGCTTATTCCATGAGACTTATGGTAATCTCTTCCAAGGGCAATTCCCCCCATGACGTAGCCATCTTCCTCTAGACCCCATCTATCAAAGCTTCTACCACCTGAACATCAACATGCTGAGGACCAAGCATCTAGAACATGAATCTTTGGTGGACAAACCTCATCCAGACTGTGGAAGTCAAATTAAGTGCCACAGAGACAAGAAACATTATCTCCTTTAGAATTTTGATTAAAATGGAGTAGCCACTAAATCACAGCTTCAAGTCCAAGCTAGCCAGGAAACCCCCAAGTCTTTACTTATACATTAACACACGTGAGAACATATGTGGCCATTAACAACCCAACCCAGAGAAGCTAAGGCCTCTCTGATTCCTCTTATGACGTGTCTCTATGTATGACGTCCCTTAATATCATTGGCACCATGTTTGACACTGACTAGTGTGCCAGCAGAGAAGGTTTATTTACCAGAGGGTGTGATAGTTCTTGGAATTTAACAGTGGAGAGAGGAAACTTGATCCCTGACATTGAGCAGTTCAGTGAGGAAGCCAACATTTAATCCCTACACATCACTTACCAGCAACTTCCTTTTCTGAGTGTCCAGTCCTCAAGGCAAGGGATTTGTCAAATTCTCACAATGTTAGACCCCGAAACCCAATGAAGACTTAAACTTGTGGCCAGATTGTTTTGACGCTATTTGTGGTTAATGCAGGAACAGTGAATAAGTTCCTGGGTTGTTCAACATTTAACTGCTAATGTTGCCAGGCTGTAGCCTGTGTAAGGTACCTCTGGGTGTGTTGTAGCAGGAATCCTAATTGGTCTCAATAAAAACCTGGAGCCAGATTTCGGGGTAAATGCTGAAAGATCAGAGAGACAAAGGAACAAGCCACAGCCACCTCTCACCTCACCAACTCCTCAGCCAAAAGGAACCTGAGCCCCTGTCTCCTCCTGCCTTACAGTCCTCTCTCCACCCAGCCATATCACTTCCTGTCTCCACCTCCCTAGAGCTGGGATTAAAGGCATGAGATCCCATGGGCTGGGATCAAAGGTGTGTGCCACCACTGCCTGGCTCTGTTTCTCTTTAAGACTGGATCAGTCTTGTGTAGAACTCAGAGATCTGTCTGCTTCTGCCTCTCAAGTGCTGGGATTAAAGGTGTGCACCACCACTGCCTGGCCTCAGTGGCTAACTAGTGGCTGGGCTCTAAACTCTGATCTTCAGGCAAACAAAATATCACCACAGTATGTGGTTACTAAAGTCAAGTTAGAGCAGAGCAAGCTGCTAGTTTCATGCTATAGTTCCAAAGAGAAAGGGATGGGGTGTGTTGAAACCACGGAGGGAGATTCACAGGCTAGGAATGTCTGGGTGTGGGAAGGACCAAGAGGCAGGGTTGGAGATTGCAACCCGGAAGCCAGAGTGGAGCACCTGTGACCCCTAGGATGGGCCATGTTTGCTGTGCCAAGCTGACTGCCAAGATATCGGGCCTGCTCTCCCCATACATTTCTCTCCTCCCAGAAAGGTCTGGGAATTACACAGGATTGCAGGTACCTCCCTGAAATCCTTAGCAAGTATCAGGATTCCTCCTGTGCCCTTCCTTACTGTCAAGACCATCTTAAAGTCAGCACAGGTGACCTAAGATTGAGTCTCTGCTTCCACATCTTCCCTTCCCTCCAGCGTCCTTTGTGACTGAACTTCACTGCAGGCCACCCTGTCTTTTGCTGCTTCACAGAGAAGAGTTCTGAGTCTGGGGGAATAATGCCCTCCTCACAACCTAGGGGCAGAACAGCTCAAACAGGTGCAGGGCAGAGAGACCGAAGCCCTAAAATCAGCCATCAATTGCCATTACCTTAAATCATCACCCAGCCTGGGAACTGCCCCATTCCTTGCTCTGAAAAAATGGTTTAGTTGGTAGAGTCCTTGCTTTGCATACCTGAAGCCCTGGGATTCATCCCCAGAACCGCATAAATCTGGTGAGGTGGCACACACCCGTAATCCCAGCATTCAGGAGGTGGGAGCAGGAGGGTCAGGAGTTCAAGGTCACCATTCTTGATTACTCAGTGAGTTTGAGGTCAGCCTGGGGTACATGAGACCCTGTCCAAAAATAAAAGCCTCAACTCGTGGGATTCCTGGGAGTCTAGGATAAGCTAATAGATGTGACCGTCCACAGATTGGTCATCTTTTGCATGATAACAAATGAATGATTTTACCCTTTGCCAACTGTGAGGAAGTTTCTCCTAAAGCTTGAGGCTTTTCTAGGTAGTCTGCAGTCATCTTGGCTCCTAGGAGAAGCGAGCCTGCCTCCACCCTTCCTTCCAAGGCCCTTTCTGCTGAACTGTGAGGTCATTTCATTTCCTGGTTCCAGATCTAGAGGCTGTTTAATGACCCCATGATGAGTCTGGCCTCTCTGGGCAGGCTGAATTTCTTTCTGATTAACAACTCTTATGGGGTGGGTATGCACATATCCGCACAAATTTTATATAAATATATAAAGAATGGCATTACAACCATACACTGAAGATTGGCGTAAGGTACTGACTGGGAGAGAAGATGAGCTCCACAGTCCCAGTTAGGACATCAGGCAATTTAATGGCAGGTTGAGTTGTCCACTGGAGTAAATGGGCACTAGTCTAAGGTGCTTGAGGGTAGAGCCAAGCCCAGCTGGGTCCCTCCAATGTCATCCAGGGTAATCTTGAGTTCAGGGAAGTCCTGCCAGCAGGGAGTGGTGAGGTCAGGTCCGCAGGAAAGCAAGCAGAGGGAGATGGGGAAGGGTTGGGTTAGTGCTGTGTCGTCTGAGGAAGGCCCCGAGGAGGGGCCACGCTGTGAGTCTGGGAATCTATGCCACCATGGCTGCTGTTTGAATGGCGACTTGAATGACCTTGGTCTAGTTGCTTCACTTTTCCAGGCCTGGTTCCTTACCTCTTACAAAGGTACCAACCCCAAAGGCTGCTGGGAGGATTCAAGGGAAGATTGCCCAATCAGGGCCTAGACTGTGCCAGATAGGAAGCAAGACCATATCGATGCCCGCTAAAGAACAATCAGTCAACTTTTACCTTCCAGCCTATCTTCTTCCTGCAAGTGTGTTAGCTGGAATCTAAAGCACACCATGCTTTTGCTAATGTCTAACGTTCGTGTGTTTCAGACACTTTCCTGAGCCCCGGATCTCTCTCCCTTCTGGAGCTATCCCACCATACACATTTCTCTATTTTGAGAACCCCCCCACGTCATGGACCTCATCGGGCTGCTGAAATCCCAGTTTCTATGTCACCTGGTCTTCTGCTACGTGTTCATCGCCTCGGGGCTCATCGTCAATGCCATCCAGCTGTGCACGCTGGTCCTCTGGCCCATCGACAAGCAGCTGTTCCGCAAGATCAACGGCAGACTGTGCTACTGCATCTCCAGCCGTAAGACCTGCGCCCTTCCTTCGTTCGTGCTTGCTTCTTCCCTGAGATGGGAGGCTCATCACACGCATTCGCTAGGCTGGGCTGCTGTGTCTCGTTCTTGGTTGCTTTAGATCTGAAATGCCCATTTTGTCCCTATGCTACAAAAAAATTATCCTGCCAGTGAGAAATGCCCAAAGCTGTTCAGCCCTAAAGGGTGAACTGGGGACAGTAAATATGCCTTCTATAGCCGCTTCTCCCACTTTCCTTCTCAGAAGTGAGTGGTCCATTTTTGCTTCGTTACCCTGATGGAAATGGTATGAATGTATGGCTGGTGTATACCCGAGAGCAGGGGATTCTCTCTGGGTAGATACACAGATCACACGCAGCTTTGGTTTGGTTTGGTTTGCAGTACTAGAAGTCAAGAATATATGCATCTTTAAAAACTAAATGGCAACATACATGCCATCGTTCTCTTCCTGATTTTTTTTTCCATCTTATTTTGTGATCATCATAGACAAATGTGGAGTTGTAAGAGACAAAACAGTGAAGTCCCAAATTCCCTACAGAATGATATAAGGGAAAAAAGGGATGAACTTGACTCTACACCCAAGCACCTTGTACTGGTTCCCATTAACTGCAGGTAGTTGTACAGTCAGGGATCTCTAGAGGATATATATATATGTGTGTGTGTGTGTGTGTGTGTGTGTGTGTGTGTGTACATATATATATGCACATTCTAATAAGTCTAATAACTTATTCACTCTAATAAGTCACATATATGCCTATATATGGCACACACACATGTAGCTGGAGTTTTCCTGCCTGGCCCACAGTCAGGACAAATCTCTCTCACCTGCCAGTCCCAAGCCGCTCAAACCCGATCAAGTAAACACAGAGACTTATATTGGTTACAAACTGTATGGCCGTGGCAGGCTTCTTGCTAACTGTTCTGACAGCTTAAATTAATCCATTTCTATTAATCTATACCTTGCCACATGGCTCGTGGCTTACCGGCATCTTTACATGCTGTTTCTCATCATGGCGGCTGGCAGTGTCTCTCTCTCAGCCTTCCACTTCCCAGCTCTATTCTCCTCCTTGTCCCGCCTATACTTCCTGCCTGGCCATGGGCCAATCAGTGATTTATTTATTGACCAATCAGAGCAACACACTTGACATACAGACCATCCCACAGCGCGCACACACACACACACACACACACACACACACACACACACACACACACACATGTGACTTGAGTGGCTTACGGCTGTGGGTCAGCTAGTCCAATAATGGCTGTTTCTCGATGGAAGTTTCAAGATTCCAATAGTTGTCCAGTCCATGAGGCTGGATGTCTCAACTGGTCCTTAGTGTATGTCGGACTCCCCAAGAAGTAGGCTCTAGGCCCTGATGCCAGGGAAGGAATGCTCAGCAGCAGGACAGATAAACTCACCAGTGAGAATGAGGCAAGCAGACAAAGAGCAAAAGCTTCCTTCTTCCATGTCCTTTATATAGGCTGTCATGAGATGCGTGACCGGGATTTAGGATGGGTCTTCCCACCTCAAAAGACCTGGATTTAAGGTGGGTCATTCTATCTCAAAAGATTCAAATAACTAAAAATCCCTCACAGGTGTGTCTAGCTGCTTGGGTTTTTAGTTGATTCCAGACTTAGTCAAGTTGAGAACCAAGATTAGCGCTATCGTAGTAGATCATTGGAGTACAGTATTGTAGCCAGGAAATTAATGTCCATATAACTCACCAAACACGCTTAGCTTTCTTCATGTTGTGTGTGTACATGCATGTATGCATATATGTGTGTGTGTGTGTCTGTGCATCTTTGTCTGTGTTTGGTGTGTGTGTGTGTGTGTGTGTGTGTGTGTGTGTGTGTGTGTGTGTGTATGTGTGTCTGTGCATCCTTGTCTGTGTTTGGTGTGTGTGTGTGTGTGTTGGTGCTAAGCTGTTGAAACATAACTCATTTGGCCAGAGCTTCCACAATGAAAGCAAGGTATCAGTATATTGCAACATCTAGTGGTGAGTTCTGTGCTGATAAATGCTAAGCTGATAATTATTCCCTAACCTAGAAAATACTGTTTCATTATCAATAATATATATATAATTTTATATATATATATGACTGAAAATATATTCAAAATATGTCCTCTTTCATTCAAACTAAGCCATGAAAATATCGGTGTAACCTTAGATTATGGCCAAGAGACAGAACTATTATCTTTCCAAAACAAAGAACAATGAAGTTAAGCCTAAACCTGCTTCTTACAACAGGAAGTCCTCTACTGGCGGTTTTTATTTTGCTTTTGTTTTTGAGACAGGGTGTCACTATATAATTCAAACTAGCTTCAAACTTGGTAATCCTCCTTCCCTGACTCTTGGATATTGGGATTTCAGCCATGTGTTACCGTGCCCAGCTTTATAGTCTTACCTTTTCAACTTTATTATCTTCCAGTGTGTGTACCTGTGTGCACATTTGTGCATGTGAGTGTAGATGCCCATGGAGGCCAGAAGGCTCCATCAGATTCCCTGGAACTGGAGTTACAGGTGGTTGTGAGTCTTCTGACTTAAGTGCTGGGAACTGAACTCCAGTCCTCTGTGAGAGCTGGAGTATACCCTGTTGATAACTGCACCATCTATCCAGCCCCATATACTTTTAATTGACACAATGATCATATATGTTTGTATGGTCTATGCAGTGCCGTGTTACACATATACAAAGCAGGGTAGCAGGCTCATCCATCATCTCGCACATTTTTTTACTCCTTTGTGCTGGGAACATTTCGGATCCTCTCTGCACACTCTACAACCACACAATACACCATTAATCTTCGTGCTTCTCCTACTGTGCCATTATGCTGCCTCTGCAAGTACACCCACTTGGAGAAGCTTTTAAGCTTGCTACAATGCCATTTCCAAATTCTGCTTTTGATGTGTGTGTCCCTTGTCTGGAGACCCATGTCACAAAACGTTTCCTCTCCGCTTTCTTCTAGTAATTTTATAGTTTCTGGTCTCACATTATTTAAGCCTCCACTCTGAGTTGATTCCGTACATGGTGAAAGATGTGCTGGTTTCATTCTCCTGCCTTTGGACACCCAGTTTTCCTGATACAAAGTATCTAGGTGACGGTTTTCTCTGATGTATGCCTCGGTTGCCAGTCAGTACTGTAAACACCGTTTTCTTCTCAGGTTCTCTGTTTGTTCTCTTGGTGTAGGGGTCTATCCTAGGCCAGCACTCTGCTGCTTGAATTCCGTGACTTTATGGAATGTTTGAAGTCGGGTTATACCCCTCTGCTCACAATTGTCCCTTTGCCCCTTGGCTCACAAATGCTTTGGCTATGGAGAGTCTCTTGTGTTTCCATACAAATTTTATGAGTGAGTATTTTGTTTGTTTTCTATTTCTGAGAAGAATGCCAGTGGTACTTGTTATATTACATCTGTGGATTCCATTTGGGTCGTATGGATATTTTTAACAATATTAATTCTTTCATGCACACGGAATGTCCTTCTCTGTGTGTGTACACAGGTGTGTGTGCCCCCTCTAACTTTTCTTTCCTCTTTGGTGGTGCGGAATGAAGGCCTGAGGCCTGACTCATAAGCACTGCAGCGCTCAGCTGCCCCCTCAGCCTCCTCCTCCATTTCTTTAACCCGGGTTTTGTGGTTTTCATTGTAGAGATCACGTGATTCCTGGGCTAGGTTTTTCCCTAAGTGTTTTATGATTTTCTTGGCTCTTGTGTGTGAGGTGGCTTTCTCATTCCTCCCCCAGCTGTTTCACTGTGCTTATGCAATGCTGCTGGTTTGTGTGTGTCAGTTTTGTGTCTTACAACCTGATTGTTCGTTTGTCCGTCTACTGGGGTGTTTTGCTTGTTTTTGGTGTAGCCTTTTAGTTTTTCTCTGTATCTGAAATCATGTCATCTGTGGACAGGGATAATTAGCCCCTTCTTTTTCTTAGAAGCCGTTAGTCTTATCTTACTGTCCTAGGTGAGACTTCCAATACTAAGGTAGAGTGGTGAATGTAGATTGCCCATTCTTGACCTAGAGGAAAGAAGCGCAGCCTCATGCAAGTTGTCGGCTGAGGTTCTGTGTTCACTGAGGCACATTCCTTCGATATATCATTGGCGTGGGGGCAGTTTAATCAGGAAGCGATACTGGATTTTATGAAATGCTTTTCTTGTACCTGTTTGAGATAACTATAGTTTTTTTGGCCTTCATCCTATGATGTAATGGATTACTATGTTCATTGATTTGATTTTGTTAACCCATTCTTGCATTCCTGGGGTAAATCATGGTATGTAATCTTTTGGATCTTATATTGATTTTTTTTTCTTTTGGTTGTTGTTGGCTATTTTATCAAGAATTTTTGTATGTTTTCATAGGGGACATTGGTCTGTAGTTTCTTCTTTCTTTCTCTCCTTCCTTCTTTCCTTCCTTTCTTTTTCCTTTCTTGTAGTTTCAGTTTTGGTATTACCATAATGTTGGCCTGATCGAATAAGTAGGGAAGGGTTTCTTCTGTTTCTGTTTTTGTTTGTTGTTGTTGGTTTTTTCTTTTGTAATTTGAGAAAATACATCGCCAGTTCTTGGTGAAGAGCTTGGTAGACTGAAGCGTTTGGGCCAGGCTTTTCTTCCTCGGGAGACTCAGGCACTGGTTCTCTCCTGAAGCTCATTGTTGTCCTTTCACGTTTTCTGGGTTTTATGGTTCACTTTTGGCAGCTTGGATGTTCCAGAAATGTAGCCGTGTCTTCTAGATCATCCAAGTTGTTAGTGGCTAGCTCTTCGGAAGAGTCCCTGGTGACCTTTTGTTTCTGTGGCACGGGTTCGAGTCTCCTTACTCCTCCCGGCTTTAGTTGTGGACTTCTCTCCGTTTTGCAGTTTTTGTAAAACTTCATAAACGAGGCCAGTTTTGTTTCATTTGTCTTTCCTATTATCTCCGTTCTGTTTGTTTCTTCTCTGATCTCTGTTACTTCTCCTCCACCAAGTTTAGGTCTGTTTTTCATTCTCATTTTTTTAGCTCCTTGA